ATGGATCCTATATATATATATATATATATATATATATATAGTTTTCACACTTTTAGTAGAAGATCTGATCCAACTAGATGAATAAATAAGTGTATTCACAACTTTTATTTATAATGAACTTCTACAATCATTTGAAACTCTCCCACCATTAATAAATGTAAATTTTATTGCAATTGTTATTATAGGAATTATGAAAATATTTTAGTTCATTTTAAAGAAACATGAATAATTGAGTGTATTCAACTTGTTTCATTCAATAAGATCAAATTGATCATTGTTAATTATAAATAAACTCTCATCAAGATTTATTTATAAATCAAATTTAGAAGGTTGAATAGACCCAATGATACTACAAAATTAGTAAAGTTAAGCATATAATCCAAATTTAATGAAAAAGTTAAGTCAATTGGCGAGTGTAAAGATTTATTACCACTTGTTGAATTAAACCTAACAATATCACTTACATATTGATTACATATTTCCCAAATAGTGTGTTCAACTTCTTTAATTTTTTATTCTTATTCAATTGATGAGCGTATTTTGGAAAATTTAAAATAATAAATTTTATTTTCAAATGTGAATCTAACAAAGCTGTTATAGACATAAGTTGATTGCACTCTCCCATTACTTATTAATTTTGATTTTTATAGTAACAACCATAATTTTAATATTCTCATATAATGAAGTTGATTCATCCATCAAATAACTTTATAACATGCATAATAGTTGAGAAGAAAATATATGAAGTTGAATAGGAAGAACCAAAAATCATTTTTGTAACATTGCTATAAATAATAAAAAAAATTAATGATTTTCTCATACTTCTTCCAATCTAAATATGACGACAATCATGTCTACTTACTATGTTGAGCAGCAAAAGATTGAACATATTTCAATATGCAAAGAATAATAAAATAAAATTTTTTCCACCCCCACAATGTAACTTTTTTTTGGATGAAATAAAATTTTCTACGTGATCACTAAAAAAAATATTTCAATATACAAAGATATATTCAAGTACTAAGTATGTAGAGTTTCGTTGTGTCAAAAAAATAATAGACAAACTCTTTGCTATTGAATTCTTTAATTTCTTCAAAACTTTCATAAATTTATGTAGCTCCATTGATGACTTTGTTAGATATTTGATAGACTATGATTTGATGAATTACATCCTGAATCTCTTTCAAACTAAATTGAACCATAATATTTAATATGTGCACAACAACTAACATGAAAAAGTACCTCAGGAAATGCAGATTCCCTTTTGATAGAAAATTAACTTAAGTGAGCTAACAACAACATTGTTATTGTTGGTATTATCCTAGAGGGTACCTTGTCGTAAATATTCCTATAAAAAAGGTAATCACACACTGCAACAAAAATAAATGTACCACTATGAGTTGACTTTAGCTAGATAAAATTTATGAATTACTTTTGCAGCTTCTGATATTGATCAATAGAATAAACATTTAGGCATATCTATTTCACTGTGATTAGAAGCCCAACAATTAAAAGTTTATGAAATTTTATGTACATCCTTGAGCTAAGTTTTTAACCTATCTTTCTCATAGTCATAAACCTTCATATTATTATTTTTTTTTATGTTTTAGAAATCCTCTCATAAATTGGATTTAAGGATTTCAATGGCATACTAAACGTGAATGCTTAACAAATAGATACCCATTCATAATAATCATCTTAACAATTATTTCTCTATTTTTTTGTTAATCATAACTCGTTGGTTCATAAAATATAGGAATCCCATTTTATGATTCACCGTCAAACTATGAAAGTTTTAATAATTTTGCCTTTAATCAGATAAATTAATAATTGATTTTCATTTTTATTTAATTCTTTTTATAATCTCTCACATGTTTAAGGATTTGTGAAGTGTCTTAGTTCTAGATTTATAAAATTTATTGTGACAATATATTCATCCTCAAAAAGATTAGAAATTCTTTTAATTGTAAATGTCACCTAAATCTAATACTCTTATACTATATACTTTGTCTTCTCACCCATCTTAGAAGAGACTTCTTTATTGCTACCATCAACGATTAAAATCTTTGGCTCTTTGTGTTATGAAGGAACATTCAAATTGTGTTACTATTTTTAACTTCGAATAACAATTCGTTGCAAGATGCATGATTTCGTTGGTGAATGATACACTGTGGATATGATTGTTCATTGTATACAAATAGATGTAAAAAAATGAGTAATATTTGAAAACCTAATAATATGATATTAAAAATTTATGATTCAATTTTAGTAAAGCATGAAGACAACTTTTGAAGAGATGTGTAACAATAAATAAGTCCAAATTGCTAAGATAGTTATGCAAAGACGAAAAGTCAAAAAGATTATGCAAAGACCAAGATTATGAAAATCGATCTAGACAACAAATCGGAAGAAAGAAAAGTTCAAGATTTGTTGGTTTAATCAAGGTTGACATGGAAGGTGTACTAATTATAAAATATAATCAAATATAACCTAAAAAATGAAATAATAGTACAATAATATAAATATTAAAATTAACTAAAAAATTAAAATATAACCATAATTTTCTTAGTTTTTTAAACAAATAAATAATAATCCAAGTTATTGAGTACATCTATAACAAATTCATCATACTCTCTTTCATAAAAAGCAACTATCCCTATTCTCAAAAAATCTTTTAATATTCGCCTTGACTTATAAACACGTCCCCATAACCCTCTCTTCTCTCTCTCTCTCTCTCTCTCTCTCTCTCTCTCTCTCTCTCTCACACACACACACACACACACACACACACACACACACACAC